AGCCGCTTGAGCCACAGGCGCCGAGCCGGCATTTCCACTTTTAAAAGTAAAGGTAAATTAGGCTCAGTACCTGTAGCTCAAGTGGGTAGGGCGCCAGTCACATAACACCAGAGCTGTCAGGTTTGAATCCAGCCCAGACCCACCAAACAACAATAACTGCAATCCAAAAATAGCCAGATATTGTGGCAGGTGCCTGTAACTCCCAGCTACTTGGGAGGCTGAAGTTAAGTGGATCGCTTAAGCCTAAGAGTTTGAGGTTGCTGTGGTCTATGACACCACGGCACTCTACCCAAGCTGACAGGTTGAGACTCTTGTCTCAAAAAAAAAGGTAAATTAGTAATAAATTTAAATACCTTTGCTTCTTTAACTGCAAAGAATTCTCATGGACTTTTTTCCACATTAACGGTTTGGCTTGGCGCCTGTGGCTCAAGTAGCTAAGGCGCTAGCCACGTACACCTAAGATGACGGGTTTGAATCCAGCCTGGGCTCGCCAAACAACAATGACGGCTGCAACCAAAAAATAGCCAGGTGTTGTGGCAGGTGCCTGTGGTCCGAGCTACTTGGGAGACTGAGGCAAGAGACTCACTTAAGCCCAGGAGTTGGAGGCTGCTGTGAGCTGTGATGCCATGACGCTCTACCTAGGACAACAGCTTCAGGCTCTGGTTCAAAAAAGGAAAAAAAAACAAAAAAGAAAGTGGGTAACAAATAACTAACCCATAATCTGCAGTATTAGTAAATAAACTTTAAAAATTTGCCTCGGTGCCTATGGCTCAAGTGGCTAAGGCGCCAGCCACATACACCTAAGGTGGTGGGTTCAAACCCAGCCCAGGCCCGCCAAACAACAATGACAGCTGCAACCAAAAAATAGCTGGGTGTTGTGGTGGGCGCCTGTGGTCCCAGCTACTTGGGAGGCAGAGGCAGGAGACTCACTGGAGCCCAGGAGTTGGAGGTTGCTGTGAGCTGTGATCCATGGCACTCTACCCAGGGGATAGCTTGAGGCTCCTGTCTCAAAAAAAAATAAAAATAAAAATAAATTAACGATTCATGTTATTTGTGTCTCTTACCCAATTAGGTACAAATCAAGACCTATCAGCTTCTACATTCCATTTTTCAGTATCCAAATCCAGCTGTTTCCTATCCTTACATTTACTCTTTGGCATCTATTATTGTGGAAAAACTGCAAGAAATATACAAGAGAAAACCTGAAAGCACTACTGAGCTTCAGATCTTTCAAGAAAGTATAAAAGTTTTGGAAACACTGGTTACTGTTGCAGAAGAACAGCATCGTAAGTTTCAGCACTAACTAAATTCATGGTAACTCAGAAGCGCTCCAAAATCAAAATTAAGTGTTGTTTAAATTCTAAAACATGGCTCGGCACCTGTGGCTCAAGTGGCTAAGGCTCCAGCCACATACACCTA